TGCATAATGGCCTAGCTTAAGACGTCTTTTGTTGACTTTTGTGGTACTGCATCATTAAACACTGTATAATGGCCTAGCTTAAGATGTATATTGTTGACTGTTGTGTTACTTACTCCATCATTAAACACTGTATTATGACAGATGTATATTGTTGACTGTTGTGTTACTGCATACTGGTTTATTTGGGTTCAGTTTGCTGTCTCATTGATGTTCACCTTACCATTATAAATGAACCATTTTTAAGTTATTACACCATATTCCTCAGTCAATTTAAGAAAGTGGTGACCACTGGAAGCTTTATCCTGCAAAATTTCTTTTAGACACCGAAGTAGAAAGGGAAAAAAAGTTCATGGTTGAATTTTTATTTGCTTTGGTTACAAAATTCTATTTACATCTTTAACATTTTTAAAGCACCACTTTAACAGTAATTTATAATTACTAAATACTTTGGAAGACACAGTGGTAAAACCTGTCGATTGTAACCCTGACTTACAAAAATTGGAACATGAAAAGTTCTGTAATATAATTACAACTGCAATTAGTTGTGTCAGATAAAATAATCTCCCACAAAATTTTGTGGTCCAACTGCAATAAATTTCTAAAATGTGTAACTGAACAGACCTTCTCATCTAAATGCTAGTTGTAATTTTTGGAAATGAATTACCTACTATCATATTAAAGCAAAATTCTCTCTGTTTTACTACTGTATGATCCATTGTAGTTACATTGTATATCAAATTACAAGGGTGTAAAAGATCCATGCAATAATAAAATAATAAATAAAGGATAATACATTGATCATTGATGGTCAACTGTGTATCATATATTAAACACACTTTCTCTTTTGTTAATCACTGTAAGTAAATTAATTAAACCTTATAGTAAAAGTCCATTTGAAATTTGTTTTTCAATTTCTTTCATCAGAAATGCTTTAATTTGACTACAAAATCAACAACTGAATCTTAACTATGCTGGTAAGTCATTTTGGTCCTGAATTAAATCAAAGCATTGTCAGAGCTGTGATCAGGCCAATCTTGACTCGAACATCCACAATGTAAACTATTTCATTTAATCATTTCTTTACAAATGTTTTTTTTCGAAGCAGCAGTTGTTGGAAGAATTTTTTGCAAAGGTCAAATGATGAACATAGATTTATATCATCTATTTCATTCCAGTGCCATACATACGGTGGGTTTATGGTTAAATCAAGCATATTTTACCAAAGTGATACTAGTATATATGAATAGACACAGCATTTAACTTACAAGACTGATAGAATAATATTTAGTGTCTACATGTACTAATATTGATCACTGATTTGTAGATAAAACAGTAGAATAATATTTAATGTCTACATGTACTAATATTGATCACTGATTTGTTAATATTTAGTGTCTACATGTACTAATATTGATCACTGATTTGTAGACAGTAGTTTTGTTGAATATTTTCCAGCTGAAGAGTTTTGTTTGATGATTCAAAATATCTGTTTTTGGGTTAGAAATTGTATGTTTTGTTTGATGATTCAAACTGTAACTGGGTCAGAAATTGTATGTTTTGTTAGATGATTCAAACTGTAATTGGATCAGAAATTGTATGTTTTGTTTAAAGTTTCAAACTGTAATTGGGTCAGAAATTGTATGTTTTGTTTGATGATTCAAACTGTAATTGGATTAGAAATTGTATGTTTTGTTTGATGATTCAAACTGTAATTGGATCAGAAATTGTATGGTTTTTTTTATGATTCAAACTGTAATTGGATCAGAAATTGTATCGTTTGTTTGATGATTCAAACTGTAATTGGGTCAGAAATTGTATGTTTTGTTTGATGATTCAAACTGTAATTGGGTCAGAAATTGTATGTTTTGTTTGATGATTCAAACTGTAATTGGGTCAAAAATTGTATGTTTTGTTTGATGATTCAAACTGTAATTGGATCAGAAATTGTATCGTTTGTTTGATGATTCAAACTGTAATTGGATCCGATAGTTAATGTTTTGTTTTGATGGTGCAAACTGTAATTGGATCAGATAGTTAATGCTTTGTTTGATGATTCAAACTGAAATTGGATCAGATATTTTATCGTTTGTTTGATGATTAATACAGTAATTGGGTCAGATATTTTATGGACTGAAAATCAAGAGAAAAATAAAGCATTACCAGTCACAGTAAAGAAATTCACAAAATAATAGACCAATCACTGCATTCTAACAAGTATATAAAAGGTTCATTAATTTTGAATTCCTAGAATCCTTCAAATTATCTACTGTTAATATATAACTTTAAACATGTTCACAGTTTTACAAAGTATGAAATGAACAGCACAATTATCTGTCAATTCAGTTATTTTTTGTCCTGTCCTAGATGTATGCTAGGCAGTACTAAATTAATGTCTAGTATTCTTTGTGATACTGAATAAATATCAAATTTTCTTATTACACTAATTTCTGCAAAAATGATTGAATTTCAATATACATATAACATGTATATTGGCACAAAATAGATTTAAAAGATGAAAGTGATATATAAAAGATGTGTATATGAATATTACAAAGATCATAAACACATAAAATTAAAATATGAGATTACAGAAATACTTCTACAAAACAATTTCTCATTTGCTTACAAAAACCATCAATTTTCCCTATTATGCTTACAAGATGTCCTGTTACATCATACTTCACAAAAGAAATGTAAACATCTTGCTTTATAACTGATACCTTCGATTGTGATGACACATAAACTTACAGATATTAAATATAAATATTTCTGTGGCTATCAATAAACAGACACACATGGGTCTTCTTATTTTAAGGTCTAACAGAGAAACTTTACAAAATCACAAAGATCTCAACCATAGAAAACTGCCCTTGGGTGTGGATTCAGAATTTGAAGTTAGGGGAGCTCCATAAAACACAGGACTAGGAGCTAATTCAGACAGGCATACAGCCTGGGGCAACCCCTAAAATAAAAAAAATAAAAATTTGGCATGAAACAGGTCAACAAATTTAAATGGAGCACCCCTAACCTCAAATGGAATAGACAAAACTTGCATTTTACACCTTATGTGTAAGTTCTGTTTTTAGCCATGTTGGTCATGTTGGGTCATCGTACACATTTGTTAAAACTAAACACCACAATGATGATTGTGGCCAAGTTTGGTTAAATTTAAAAGTAAACAGACAATGGCGACATATGACAAGTTTGATTAAAATATAAAAGAAAAAATTAATCCAGAATTCAACTATATTGGTACAAAATTTGTATTACAGATGACACACAAAAAGGCTTCCTTTTTATTACAAAACATTTTACAATAACTACTGAATAAATATATAAGGTGCAATTTCAATAATTTTTTAAAATCTGATATCTAATATAAACAAAATTAAAACACCTGAAATAAACTGCTTTGCTGAGCGCTGCTGGATACGCCCGCAGAGGTCCAACCCTGAACAGTTGGGGCAAAAATGGACACAATATTCAAGCTTGATACAGGTCTGAATTTGGATTGTAATAAAATATTTGACATATTATAGGTTTCTGAATAAATGTAGTCAAAGAACTTGAAATTGGTTATATGAATTGAATTTATATTCAATTAAAGATTTCTTGCTGTTGTGCAATACACTGTGCTATTGCGCAATACTTAGTAAATCTGTTGTCAGACTATAAACAAACAATAACTTCTCAATGTTATATCAGAAATTTATAAAAAAAACTAAAGGGAGGTTATCTTAATAGATATAAATCAGTCATCAAAGTTTAATGAAAACTGCTCTAAGCACTTTAAGGATATTGTCCAAAAACTTGAAAATCAACCCTTTTTTTTTATGAATAAAATCTTATAACTCGGAAACGTAAAATCTTAAATTTATAAAAATCAAAAGGGAGCTTACAACAATAGATATAAACAATATACCAAAGTTTCATAAAAAATGCTGAAAGCATTTTTGAGTTATTGTCTGAAAACTGGAAAATCCCCCTTTTTGTAATGAATAAAACCCCATAAATCGGAAATGTATGGTCTAAAATTTATAAAAATCAAAAGGGAGCTCATGTCGATAGAAATAAACAATTCACCAAAGTTTCTTGCAAATTGGTGAAACTGTTTTTGAGTTATTGTCCAAAAACTGGAAAATCCCCCCTTTTTTAATGAATAAAACCCCAAAACTCGGAAACATCATGCATATTGGTTTAAGCGTTTTTGAGTTAATGTCCGACATGTTGACGATGGAGGGACAGACGGTCAACGGTATACCATAATACGTCCCGTAAACGGGCGTATAAAAACCCTAAACTTTTATGGCATGTCTAAAATCAAATTCCATTGAAAAAGGTTGTAATTAAAGTAAAATATAACAAGAATTTGTGGTGATTAGATAGCAGACAATGTCTTCCAACGTAAACTAGTAGGCAACCATTTGACCAGTAGTGATTAGATGGCAGGCAATGTCTTCCAATGTAAACTAGTAGGCAACCATTAAACCAATCAATTATCAAAGGTCAAAACAAGCAGTTAATGAATATTTCCACAACTTTATTTTACAATGAACTGAAACGTTTTATCAATACTTACTTGAACTGTTTGTAGATCAAGGCAGACAACCAGGCTTCCAACTTTTTTTACCCCAAAATCTACTTATCAAAATATACACTGGAACAAAATGTTTGGTAAAACCAAATTTAAAAAAATGCCAACAATTATTACAGCTAAAGCATGCTATAATACAACCACAAGTTTATTATCAACGTACCAACTTCTTGGTATAATTATGACAGCTAATGCATGCTATAATACAAACACAAGTTTATTATCAACGTACCAACTTCTTGGTATAATTATGACAGCTAATGCATGCTATTATACAAACACAAGTTTATTATCAACGTACCAACTTCTTGGTATAATTATGACAGCTAATGCATGCTATTATACAAACACAAGTTTATTATCAACGTACCAACTTCTTGGTATAATTATGACAGCTAATGCATGCTATTATACAAACACAAGTTTATTATCAACGTACCAACTTCTTGGTATAATTATGATTTAACAAATGGATTTATATGACAATATATCACAGACTACAAAATGTCAAAAAAGAAAAAATAACATAAATGCTTTGTAATGAGATCTTAAATATTCCTTAATATTGAATATAAAGTAGTTCTGACAACAACTCCTATGAATTACAAAAATATACATTATTGTCAAATATGTCTCTGCTAAGACATGTGACATGTGTGATGTACAAACTGTATCAGTTTGGAATGGTATGCATAAAACAGACAAAATAGATCATTCTTCTTTATCACTTATCACATATACATCTTAAAATAAAATAAACTGAGCTTGATTTGATAGCATAATTCATTCTACCTCTCTCTCTCTTCTCTCGCTATATATATTTCATAAATATTTCATAAAATTGAAAACTTAAGTCTGATTTGTCTTTTTTCACAATGGAAAAAATGCAGTAATATTTTTGTCTTGAGTTTCAGATGTACCTTCAATTTTTCAAGTTCCACAGCCCGAAAATGACAAATTTTAAACACATCAAATTTATCATTTATGTTTATACTAATTTTCTTCATCAAACTTGAATTAAAATGTACTGTACAATTAAAAGGTTTTTTCATGGCCATTTCTCTGTGATGACTTTGGTGAAATTGGTTTTACACCATCTGTTGCTGGTTTGATAGCGAGTCAGTTTTTCTGCACCATCTGTTGCTGGTTTGATAGTGAGTCAGGATTTCTGGACCATCTGTTGCTGGTTTGATAGTGAGTCAGGTTTTCTGGACCATCTGTTGTTAGTTTGATAGTGAGTCAGGCTTTCTGGACCATCTGTTGCTGGTTTGATAGTGAGTCATATGAATTAAACATCCTTAAAATTTCATAAAACTTTGGGTAATAGCTGAATAGACAGAATATAAGAGTTAAACATTATTTTGTACAATCAATCTTTCATTTAATGAACCATAACTTGATTAAACATGACTTTATTTGGAATTTTAGGATGCATCTTTAAACAGCTCCTCGACATAATCTAGTGTTTCATTATGTTGTTCTCCAGATTTTCTGTCAATCAGACTGACAGGAGAAGACTCAGACTCATTAATTTCTTCTGTCATTACCTTTACCCTTTCTTCAAATAATCTTTTGGCAAATTTATATAATTTAACATCTATAGCATTCAGATTTTCTATCAAACTTATTTGTTCCTGCGTAACCTTATGTTCAGCTTTTTCGGAATGTGTTTTGTTGTACTGCTCAAAATCTTTAGAAAATTTTATGTGAAAAGTATGTTGAAATAAGAGTTGAGTATCTCGTTGATGTTCTGTTAAACCAAAAAAAGACATATTTTTAAGGTTTTCAATTGCACTTTCAAGTAATAATCTTTGTCTAAGTTCCTCATTCATTCCTGTCCCATTGTAGCAGTTGACTTTACTTAGATTGGCTAACATCCTTGTCTGTCGATTATTAGCAAGATTAAATTTACATTTTATGAATTCTTCCAATGATACACCCTTCCATGTTGAGCCTTCAAAGCAAAATGGCACTTCCTCTAAAGAAGCTTGGCGTCCATTACAATAAAGTTTTGCAGCTTTCCATGTAGCTCCTCTCTGAACATGTTTCCATTCACTTATATATCTCCTCACTGGGTCTCTAAGTATGGTGATATAGTGGAATCTAAAAAAAACAAGATTACAGGCAGTTTTAAAAATACAACTGATTCCTAGAGACAGCAATTGGAAGTTTAAAGAAGTTCAAAATATATATAAAATCATATATACCCTAATCTGTACAAGAATAAGTCATGTAAGATACTTTTTTAAAGTGTTCAATCATGTTTATAACATAAAGACTAAAACTATTCATGCAGTTAAAACTAGAGATTCCCAGGAACCTGATTTGCACACCTTGTAAAAATATGCAACATTAAAATCAGTAACAACAGAGGCAGCAATCTTTCACACAATAAGTAAACTTATGGCCAGGTTTTTTACAGATCTAGATCTGTTCAGATTTTTTTTTTAATGAAGGAACCTGTCATCCATTGATTTCTGTCATAATTATAATTTTAGCAGATTTTGTATGGCTGATAATTTTTGCTGTTCACAGTTTCTACCTATCTTTTAAAGTTTTGGAAACATATTCCACTAACTCTTTATATTAAGGAATCATCAAATGGTTTCTGATATATGTTGTAGATCTTGTATCATGTGTATTGCTGATCATTTACTCACTGTCAACAGTTTCCATTTTTCTGTTATACTTTTCTATATGAATTATGATAGACATTAACATGAAAATCAGTTAGAATTCATCCCTATAAGGGCTGGTTTCGGTCAATTTGCATTTGTTTAGATCTTGTACCTTTAACAAATAGTTGACGCTGTCGCTTTTTTACTCCATCAAGGCAAGACAAAAAAACACAAATAAGAAACAAGCATTCTTGTGAGTATTGCCTGGCAATACATAGTCCCCTACCATGCCTACCGGTTAAAAATTCATTGTACTGGAACAAAATGATAACTTGATCTATAATTTGTCATGGTGTTTCAATAACAAATATCAAGTCAATATCTTCAAGCATGACGGAAAAAAAATGTGGAAAATTGATTATTTGAGTGATTTTTTTAAGTCCAAGGACCATAACTCTGCACAAAATCATCAGACCACAACAAATTTCAAACTTGATCTGTAACTTGTCATGATAAAACTATATACCAATTATCAAATCAATATCTTCAAGCATAACAAAAAAAGTCAGGAAAACTGATTATTTGAGTGAATTTTCCAAGTCCAAGGACCATAACTCTGCACAAAATCATTAGACCGGGACAAAATTCAAACTTGATCTGTAACTTGTCATGATATAACTATATACCAATCATCAAATCAATATCTTCAAGCATGACAAAAAAAAAGTGTGGAAAATTGATTATTTGAGGGAATTTTCTAAGTTCAAGGACCATAATTATAACTCTGCACAAAATCATCAGATCGGAACAAAATTCTAACTTGATCTGTAACTTGTCATTATAAAACAATACACCAAATATCAAATCAATATCTTCAAGCATGATGAAATTAAGTGTGGAAAACTGATTATATGAGGGAATTTTCTAAGTTCAAGGACCATAACTCTGCACAAAATTATCAGATCGGAACAAAATTCAAACTTAATCTGAAACAATACACCAAATATCAAATCAATATCTTCAAGCATGATGAAATTAAGTGTGGAAAACTGATTTGCCGGACTGACATATGGACAGACAGACAGACAGACGGAGTGCAAACCTATAGTCCCCTTCGACTTGGTTGGTAAGGGACTAAAAAACAATCACTTAGCACCTTTCAGAAGTTCTGCTTGAACAAGTTGCTACCAGTTTCAATTTATTAAAACAATAAACTGTTAACACAGAGATATGTCTCGCCTATTTGTTATTTTGATAATGCAAATGTTGAAATTAAAATAGCAATACTTTAACATGTAAGTGATGCAAATATTCAAAGTCAATGAACCATGACTGAAGGTACAGGGCTAAACAATCTCCATGGAAATGAGATGTGCCATTGCTAATACAACTGCAAACCAAATACCATTGACTTTTCATAAGTCGTTCCCTTTTAACAAACCTAAACACAAACATTAACTTGTAAACTATGTAAAAGTTTCAAAGTCAATGAACCATAATTAGGGGGTGGGGTTATATAATCTCCATGGAAATGAAACTTGCAAATGCCCATACATTTGTATACCGAATATCATTGACTTAACATTAGTGGTTCATCTAAAACTGAACTAATCACAAACTAATACATGTAAACTAAGCAAAAGTTTCAAAGTCAATAGACCATGACTGAGGGGTAGTCACCAAATATTCTCTATGGAAATGAGATGTGCTAATGCTTATACAACTGCATACCAATTATCATTGACCTACCACTAACGGTTCCCCTTAAACTGACTTAATCACAAACTAATACATGAAAACTAAGCAAAAGTTTCAAAGTCAACAGACCATGAATGAGGGGGCGGGGCCAAATAATCTCCATGGAAATGAGATATGCCAAAGCTTATACAACTGCATACCAAATATCATTGATGCATGACCTACCACTAGTGGTTTCCCATAAACTGACCTAATCACAAACTAATACATGTAAACTAAGCAAAGTTTCAAAGTCAAGAGACCTTGACTGAGGGGGTGGGGCCAAATAATCTCCATGGTAATGAGATGTGCCAATGCTAATACAACTGCATACCAAATATCATTGACCTACCACTAGTGATTCACCATGAACTAGACCTAATCACAAACTATGTCTCGCTTTTTGACTCTGTCAAGGTGTGACAAAAATGATTGATATTTTAGTCTGGGAGCACATGATTTTTTTATTAGTTGAAATAGGCTTTGAACTAGTTGTCAGTAACTGCTGTGAATACTCTTTTTTGGAGGCCAGCTCAGTCTCTGCTTACCCTTCTTGGTCACCTGAGATAACTCTTAGTTTTTGGTGGGGTTCATGTTTCTCTGTCTTTAGTTTTCTTGTTACTTGTAGTTTTTTGTAGACTGTTGTCTTTTTGTGGTTTTTGTTTTTGCCATGGTATTGCTACATTTCCTTAGATTTGTAATCTTAATGTCCTTTTGGCATCTTTTGCCTCTTTCTTTCAAAAGAAACGGATTTTTTTTTATATTCAAAAACTAAATATTTTATCCATTTAAACATGAAAATCCAATAGGAATATCACAACGGGTATCAGGTTCTTTTGGCCCCAAACTAATCTGGCCGAAAGTCAATCAGCCGGGCCCCCATAATATATAAACATGTATGTGTAGTAATGAATAATTGCTATAAAATTCAGAGATTTTGTGAAGTATTTGATTCAAGGGAAATGAAAATTTGTCCATGAAAAAGTTGTGTAAATTTGACTGATGATTAGAGGATTTGTTTTTAAGAAACAGTACTGATGATCAATGAAAACATGTTACAGGTAAGTAACTCTAACAGTACTAATGATCAATGACAATATTTTACAGGTAGGTAACTTTTTAAGGAGTGGCAAACAGTACTGATGATCAATGACAACACGTTACAGGTAAGTAACTATTTAAGGAGAGGCAAACAGTACTGATGATCAATGACAACATGTTACAGGTAAGTAACTATTTAAGATATGGCAAACAGTACTGATGACCAATGACAACACGTTACAGGTAAGTAACTCTTTAAGGAGAGGCAAACAGTACTGATGATCAATGACAACACATTACAGGTAAGTAACTCTTTAAGGAGAGGCAAACAGTACTGATGATCAATGACAACATGTTACAGGTAAGTAACTCTTTAAGGAGAGGCAAACAGTACTGATGATCAATGACAACACGTTACAGGTAAGTAACTCTTTAAGGAGAGGCAAACAGTACTGATGATCAATGACAACATGTTACAGGTAAGTAACTGTTTAAGATATGGCAAACAGTACTGATGACCAATGACAACACGTTACAGGTAAGTAACTCTTTAAGGAGAGGCAAACAGTACTGATGATCAATGACAACACGTTACAGGTAAGTAACTCTTTAAGGAGAGGCAAACAGTACTGATGATCAATGACAACATGTTACAGGTAAGTAACTCTTTAAGGAGAGGCAAACAGTACTGATGATCAATGACAACACGTTACAGGTAAGTAACTCTTTAAGGAGAGGCAAACAGTACTGATGATCAATGACAACACGTTACAGGTAAGTAACTCTTTAAGGAGTGGCAAACAGTACTGATGATCAATGACAACACGTTACAGGTAAGTAACTCTTTAAGGAGTGGCAAACAGTACTGATGATCAATGACAACACGTTACAGGTAAGTAACACTTTAAGGAGTGGCAAATAGTACTGATGATCAATGATAACATGTTACAGGTAAGTAACTCTTTAAGGAGAGGCAAACAGTACTGATGATCAATGACAACATGTTACAGGTAAGTAACTCTGTAAGGAGTGGCAAACAGTACTGATGATCAATGACAACACGTTACAGGTAAGTAACTCTGTAAGGAGTGGCAAACAGTACTAATGATCAATGACAACACGTTACAGGTAAATAACTCTGTAAGGAGTGGCAAACAGTACTGATGATCAATGACAACACGTTACAGGTTATTTACTCTGTAAGGAGAGGCAAACAGTACTGATGATCAATGACAACATGTTACAGGTAAGTAACTCTGTAAGGAGTGGCAAACAGTACTGATGATCAATGACAACACGTTACAGGTAAATAACTCTGTAAGGAGAGGCAAACAGTACTGATGATCAATGACAACATGTTACAGGTAAGTAACTCTGTAAGGAGTGGCAAACAGTACTGATGATCAATGACAACACGTTACAGGTAAGTAACTCTTTAAGGAGTGGCAAACAGTACTGATGATCAATGACAACACGTTACACCTAAATAACTCTGTAAGGAGAGGCAAACAGTACTGATGATCAATGACAACACGTTACAGGTAAGTAACTCTTTAAGGAGTGGCAAACAGTACTGATGATCAATGACAACATGTTACAGGTAAGTAACTCTTTAAGGAGTGGCAAACAGTACTGATGATCAATGACAACACGTTACAGGTAAGTAACTCTTGGAGAACAGGATTCAGAAAATTAAACAATATTTCTCATTTTGAGTAGTTTTTATACCTTTTTTCAAAAGCTTGTGTGCATCAGCTGTGTATAACCTGATTTTACACCAGATGAAAAGACTTAGAATATGAAAGTCATATGAAAAATTGCTGATTAATCAGTCAAGGGTGTAACTTGAATAACTTATTAGAGAAAAATAACATACATGTGTTAGTACGGATACTTTCTCTTAATCTGTAGTAACATATGTTTGTTATCAGTTAAATGTACCATAAAAATTTTATTTTCAGTGGGCACTTGGGAATTCTTGAAACTTGCGCAGTTACTTAATACATAACCTTGAAAACTAATTTTCCAATTCAATTAATACATTTTTGATCAACCAGGGTAAATCAATGAGACAAGGCTTTTAAGTGATAACTTAGTGTAATAACAAGGCTTAGTTATTACAGGCATTTAACTTATTACATGAGACACTTGGGAATGACTAGGAAGCTTGCGCAGAACCTCATTACATGCTCTTATCATTATTTATTACAATAAATTGAAATACATTGTGATATATGTAGGAGAAAAGGCTTTGAAGAGATGTAGAGAAGCTGTAATAACACCCTTTAGTTATTACAGGCATATTTTTTCTGTAATAACATGGGTGTGTTATGCATGATTGGCAAACTATGGGCTGTTATATCTTTCTAAAGTTTAATATACATAAAGACAATTATAATATCAATAGAACTAGTACATAATTTAAAAAAAATAAAGGATGTATAATACCCCTTTGAAACATGTAACATACATATGTTATTACAGATTTTTGATTTTTTAGCCCCCAATAACAAATGTATGTTATTTTTCTCTAATAACTTATTTAAGTTAGACCCTTGACTGTTAATGTTGATTGTAGTTTGTACTAACTTCTAAAATAAATATTTTTTTTATACATACCTAAGAACAATAGTCATGATAGTCAACTACATGTAGGTTAGGAGAGGGTTGAGCGGTCACAAACATGTTTAATACCGCCACATTCTTTATGTGCCTGTCCCAAGTCAGGAACCTGTAGTTCAGTGGTTGTCGTTGGTTCATGTCTGTTATATTTGTTTTTTCGTAAATTGCTTTATTAAAATTAGGCCGTTAGTTTTCTCAATTGAATTGTTTCATATTTTTCATGTCGGGCTTTTTATAGCGGACTATATATACGGTATGGGTTTTTCTCATTGTTGAAGGCGGAACGGTTGCCTATAATTGCTTACATCCACTTCATTTGAACTTTGATGGATAGTTGTCTCATTGGCAATCATACCACATCTTCTAATTTTTATATTTTAATAAAATAACTTTTAATAAAATTGTAATTAACATAAATGTCATATGCATACAAATGTATAATGCATAATCATTCCTGCTTATTCAGTGGGGTACTTATAAAGTGAGAAACGAAACGAAATGAAATATAATGAAACGCAACAAAATATAACGAAACGCAACAAAATTTAACGAAACGCAACGAAATATAAAGAAACGAAACGTAAAATGAATAAAATGCTCCGCAGGGCGCAGCTTGATACGACCGCAGAGGTCGAACCCTGAACAGTTGGGGGAAGTATGGACACAACATTCAAGCTTGATACAGCTTTGGATTTGGATTGTGATTAAATATTTGACACAGCATAGGTTTCTAACACAGATTGAATGTGGTCTAAGAACTTAAAAATTTTAAATTAAACATTCACCTATTATGGTCCAATATCCAAAATCTAAATACATGGTTAGATTCAGCATATCAAAGAACCCCAAGAATTCAATTTTTGATGAAATCAAACAAAGTTTAATTTTGGACCCTTTTGACCTCAATGTGGACAAAGTTAATAACGGGGCCCAAAAATCAAAAATCTAAATACATGGTTAGATTCAGCATATCAAAGAACCCCATATATTCAATTTTTGTTGAAATCAAACAAAGTTTAATTTTAGACCACGATTTGGACCAACTTGAAAACTGGGCCCATAATCAAAAATCTAAATACATGTTTAGATTCAGCATATCAAAGAACCCCATATATTCAATTTTTGTTAAAATCAAACTAAGTTTAATTTTGGACCCTTTGGACCTTAATGTAGACCAATTTGAAAATGGAACCAAAAATTAAGAATCTAAATACACGGTTAGATTCGGCATATCAAAGAACCCCAATAATTCAATTTTTGATGAAATCAAACAAAGTTTAATTTTGGACCCTTTTGACCTCAATGTGGACAAAGTTGATAACGGGGCCCAAAAATCAAAAATCTAAATACATGGTTAGATTCAGCATATCAAAGAACCTCATATATTCAATTTTTGTTGAAATCAAACAAAGTTTAATTTTGGACCCCGATTTGGACCAACTTGAAAACTGGGCCCATAATCAAAAATCTAAAAACATGTTTAGATTCAGCATATCAAAGAACCCTAAGAATTCAATTTTTGTTAAAATCAAACTAAGTTTAATTTTGGACCCTTTGGACCTTAATGTAGACCAATTTGAAAACGGAACCAAAATTTAAGAATCTAAATACACGGTTAGATTCGGCATATCAAAGAACCCCAATAATTCAATTTTTGATGAAATCAAACAAAGTTTAATTTTGGACCCTTTGGACCTCAATGTGGACCAATTTAAAAACGGGGCCCAAAATCCAAAAACTAAATACACGGTTAGATTCAGCATATTAAAGAACCCCATGAAATCAAGAATAAAACCCCATTGAAATTGGTCAAGAAATAAGCAATTTATAGGAAGTATCTTCTTTTGCACAATCCTGTGCTATTAAATATTTCTTGTTATTGCGCAATACTGTACAATTGACAATTTCTTGCTATTGCGCAATATTGTGCTATTGGATATTTCTTGCTATTGCGCAATACTGTGCAATTGAAGATTTCTTGCTATTGCGCAATACTGTGCAATTGAAGATTTCTTGCTATTGTGCAATACTGTGCAATTGAAAATTTCTTGCTATTGCACAATACTTATTATATAATAATTTACACATCCTGTTTGGTGTGTATCTCCTACCATATCATTATTATTTGATTTTAAATATAAATCAGAAATAACCAACTTAAAATGGAAAATTTTAAAAGAAACAAAAAAGGAAAAAAAGAAAAAAAAGGAAAAAAAAATAAATCCCCCCCCAAAATTTTTTGAACCCCCATTATGATTCATCACCCCCAAACTCAATCCCAGCCTTCCCTTTGTGGTATGGTACCTTGCAGTACAATTTCAGAGAGATCCATACACTTGAACACAAGTTATTGTCTGGAAACTAGAAAAAAATGTGTTTTTTGGCCCCTTTTTGGCCCCAAATTCCTAAACGTTTAGGGCAATTACCCCCAAACTCAAACCCAGCTTTCCCTTTGTGATATGGAACCTTGTAGTACAATTTCAGAAAGATCCATACACTTACACACAAGTTATTGTCATGAAACTAGAAAAATGCTTGTTTTTTGCCCCTTTTTTGGCCCCTAATTCCTAAAATTTGGAGGCAATTACCCCCAAAATCAATCCCAGCATTCCTTTAGTGATATGGAACCTTGTGGTACAATGTCAGAGAGATCCATACACTAACACACAAGTTATGTCTGGAAGTTACAAAAATGCTTATTTTTGGCCCCTTTTTGGCCCCTAATTCCTTTACTGTTATTACCATAACCCCCAAAATCAATCCCAACCTTCCTTTTGTGGTATTGAACCTTGTGGTAAAATTTCATAAAGATCCATTCACTTAAACTAAAGTTAGAGTGCGAAAACCAATGTGTCTTCGGACGACGACGACGGCGACGCCGGACGACAACGACGCCAACGTCATACCAATATACGACCACAAAAATTTTTTTGCGGTCGTATAAAAAATGAAATACAACGAACTCAAAGCGAAATAATATATTTTTAGCCCAATAGCACTTAAGAATCCAACCCTTTAGGTTTATGCTCTTGAACCATGTTAAAACTGTATATTTTTAGAAATTCAAGTCTGTTTGATCTGTATTATCTAAATTCTTGTCGATGTTTTTAAACAAAAGTGGACACCCTGAAACATGTGAAATGTGTAGTCTGTTTTAGTGTTCATAATTGAATTTATGTTGAAGTCAAAATAAAAGTTTATACTACAAGCTTTACATTAAATTAATATTGCAGTGATAAATGAACATGAAGTGAAAGTGAGATAAATCTTTAAGACAGACATGGAAGTTGTACAAAATCATTCCTTTCACTGAAATATAGTAAACCAATTGCTTAAAGTATCTCAGAAACAAACTACATGACAGAAATTGAACTTTGACCAATGAACCATGAAAATAAGGTCAAGGTCAGATGACATCTTCCAAACAGCAATATACATCTTACTAGCATCATATAAACCAAATTATTAATATAGTGCACCTCTTCCTTAATGAACTATTGATATGATATCAAAGTCAGATGATACCAGCTGCCAGTTGGACATGTTCACCATACAATCATTACATACACCCAATATAGTGCACCTACTGCTTATAATATCGGAGATATGGATTTGACAAGGAAAACTTAACCTTGTTCACTGATCAAGGAAATTAGGTTGAGGTCAAGCGAAAACTGACAGACGGCCATGCGAACCTTACAAGATACTAAATATAGTACATTTTATATGCACCTGTCCTAAGTCAGGAACATGTTGTCCAGGTGGTTGTTGAAGTTCATATGTGTTTTAACGTGGTTGTAACAATGATAACTATCAAGAGCATAAACCTAAAGGGTCTGATTCTTAAGTGCTATTGGGCTAAAAATATATTGTTTCACTTTGATTTCGTTGTATTTTGTTTCTTCATTTTCAAATTCGTTTCGTTTCGTTATATTTCGTTTCCGTTTCTGACTTTATAAGTACCCTATTCAGGGTGATAAGAACCCTTCAATATATATGCTATTGTTGTTCAGTGGTTGTCGTTTGTTGATGTGGTTCATAAGTGTTTCTCGTTTTTTATATAGATTAGACCTTTGGTTTTCCTGTTTGAATTGTTTTCACACATCATTTTGGGGCCCTTTATAGCTTGCTGTTCAGTGTGAGTCAAGGCTCCGTGTTGAAGGCCATACTTTAGTTGTTTACTTTTTACACAATGTGACTTGGAGTGTTTAATGGCACTCATATCACATCTTCTTATTTCTATATAATTAGTATTCAAGTAGTAAAAATTTGTAATTATTCTTTAGTTTGTTTGCCACGTTTGCAAAACTTTCATTTTCCTATCTTGACTAGGGACACATACATGTATGTCCATAACTATGTGTCCCTAATGCAGTCAAAGGGTTAAATATGGGCCAGATCAACTTAGTCTGGATCAACAGGGCCAGAACGACATGAAACCTTACATTGTACATGTATATGCCAAATGGGTTATTATGGAAGCAAGTTAACTCATACCATTGTAAACTCGTACCACGTAAACTTGTACCAAAAAAGTTAACTCGTACCAATCAGAACTCGTACCACTGCAAACTCGTACCATTAAAAGTATATTAAAAAATATGAATGTTTTATGATTTTGTTTTGGTATCACCAGCCCAGTAGTCAGCACTTCTGTGCTGACATGAATTATCATTGATATGGTCATATTTATAAATTAACTGTTTACAAAACTTTTGCAATTTTGAAATACTAAGGCTTTTCTAGTTCAAGAATAGAATCACCTTAGCTGTATTTGGCAAAACTTTTAGGAATTTTGGTCCTCAATGCTCTTCAACTTCGTGCTTTATTTGGCTTTTTTAACTTGTTTGGATTCGAGCGTCACTGATGAGTCTTTTGTAGACGAAACGCGCGTCTGGCGTAAATACAAAATTTAATCCTGGTATCTATGATGAGTTTATAATTTAAAACACAATAAATAAATTCTTTCGTTAAATAAAAATTCCTTTTAGAAACAAAAGAAAAATACACAAATCTATTCAATGATACTGATTTGGAATGATTAAAAATTAAATCAAATAGTTGTCAGTAAAAGTTTAAAAAAGAGTCTACTCAAGGGAGACAGCAAAGCCAATCTGCCACGGTTTTCTCTATCCAATTAGACAAGGAAAATTAGCTACAAATTGGTCATTGTAATTTCAAATTATATACATTTTACAGATTTACGAGGTATTGAGGGAAATTAAAGTATATATTCATCATTAAACACCATTTGAATGCATTTAAATAAGTTGGTACGAGTTTACAATGGTATGAATTTACCGTGGTACGAGTTAGCAGTGGTACGAGTTTGCATTGGTACGAGTTGACATTGGTACGAGTTTACAATGGTACGAGATAACTATAATTCTAATTATAACCTATTTGGATGACTTGTCTCGTCCCAACCTGTTCAATTTTTCAAGCTTAAGTTAAGTTGACATGCATACCTTCTTTTTCTATGTAAACCTTCTTGCTTGTCCATTTCTTTATCGACACATCCCTTTAATTCTGTCCAGTCTGCATGAAGACCACATGCCCAACCAGTAGAGTATCTACTAAATAACCAGACGGTTTGCTTTCGAGTTAAGCAGTTACATTTTTTCTTCCCTTTAATACATTCACAAGGTTGGTCAATGTCAAGATTTTTAACTAGATGTTTTCCAAAAGTTGTACCACCAGTTTTTTGCATGTGAAGAAAAACAAGAACATCTTCATCTTCTAAATCAAGTTCATAGTCTTTGTCCAGTAGTTTTCTGTCAAAGTTCAAGTCAATAGAATATGAATTTGTTTTCTGTGAAAATAAATAATGATTTTGATCCGAATAAAGACATAACAATAAAATAAATAATGCCACAAAGACACATATGGTTACAAGGAGTCTTATGTTACCCCTTCTCATCTTCTAAATCTACTTTTTACACATTCTTTAGGATGTTTGCTTTGTCAAAATGATCTGCTTCGAACGTCAGTTAAAAAAATGCCCTAAGACATTTATTACAATTCATTCATGTTATTTCTTTAACGGTTTCTCTTTGTGTCTATATTTTTATATTCAATAACGAAGCAGATAAAAGTCACCAGAAGAGAGAAGATTGTTTCCATCCATCTTTTTGCAACCTTCGGAATACAAGTTGTTGTTTTCTTTCGTATTGACTTTGGTTAAGTCCAAATAATTCCGAAAGGCAAATCTAATTTCGACTGTTTCCCCTCATTCTGTTTAATTTTTACGGTCTTGTGTCGAAAAAAAGAAAATTTTAAAATTATAGTAACCAGTAAATATGTTTAAAGTGAAAAAAGGAATGTTTAAATATTTATATTTCAAATAATGAAATTAGTCTGTATGTTATTTCCCAATATCTCACAAAATGATTGAAATCCTAAAAAAATATATATCAAGATCTCGTGTATTTGGTTGAGATGGTGATATTCGAAGCTTCAAAATGGTGGACATATCACCCTGTTGGCTGAATGAGCACAATGCTTTAGTAGATTTTGGCGCTACTGCTAATGCACCAAGCAAAGATTTTTATCACGTCTTTGTCACACAAAAAGAAGTATTAGATTTTAGTTCAATTTTCCATAATGTTTACTTAGTTCTATATTTGCGCAATAAAATCTAAAAAAAGAAACAAAGTCAATTTTTGACCATGACCTTGCAAAACAACACACACAAGAATACATATGTGTCTTGACTGGTTAATCAACAACCTGGAATCTGGTAAAACTTTTCACATACTTCACTATAAATATAACACCAGGTCACCAGTATTACTGTAGAGGTTAAAACTGTGGAAATTTACGCTAAGCCTAAGATATGTAAACTTCTTCTGCCTTTTTGCAGCCCACACGTTCGCCCCCTAGGTCCGTTCGCACCCAATTTTTATTCAAATTCAATTTGAATTATTAGATACTTTTTTATATGTTTATACCAAAAAAAATATATTTTCCTGAATAAAAATTGGGGAATTATTATATGAATGTTTTTTTTTTTTTTTTTTTCATCAATTTGATGATTAATTATTAAATGTTAATTATGTACAAATGTATGATTACTGCTAATTGGTATTTATACACAGCTAAATTTGGTATTATTGTTGTGTGTTTGAAAATCATGATGGTTGTTTTAACTTGCTTTGATGTAAATACTGCATGTATTAAGCTTGGTATTAGTAAAACATTGAAGATTTTAAAAGAAAAACACGAAAGATAATTGATTTTAACAGCTTGGCCCCTTTGATATCACTTTATTTTGAAACAATGAAAAAAAAAATTATATCACAACACTATTAGTCACTAACCAAAACATAATTTAAGATTTATTCAGCACAAAAAAAACCAAAAAACTTGAGAATCTAACTTTATTTTGAAACATGGAAAACATAAATTTATGGCAATACACTAACCAAAAGATGATTAAGATTTATTCAACACCAAAAACAAACGTTGTCAGAATCTCACTTTATTTAGAAACGATGATTTTTTTTTATAGAAATACACTAACCAAAACATGATTAAGATTTATTCAACACAAAAAAATGTCAGAATCTCACTTTATTTTGAAACAATGAAAAAAAAAACATTTACAGCAATACACTTACCAAAACTCGATTACAAAATTATTAAACACAAAACCAATAAAAAGGGTGCGAACGGACTTTGGGTGCGAATGTGTAGAGTGCGAAAGTGAAAGGGGGCGAACGTGAATGGGCGCGAACGGACCCGGATTCATAAGCCATACATGTGACAGAGAAGTCAAGTCACATCTGGAGATTTGAAAATTTCAGCTGGAGTTTTTGCCTCACCATACATGTGATGGACTGTGAAACTCATATCAGAAGATTGGGAAATTTTGGTCAGGAGATTAGGACTCAGATCAGGAGGTTTTTTATCGACATAAATTTTGTTGTAAATGTAACTGTGTGATGTACTAAATTGTCTTTTAAAGTGTTTTTTCTTCAACTTTCCATCCGAATGTAATATGTTTATTAATAGTACCCTTGTAGTTGTACTATTAAATTTTCTTTATCTTTATTCAGCCTCTCATTTTATTATCTTTTGTAAAAAAATTTTAATTTCATTTTTAAACTTTTGTTAGATCATTATTCCATAAAACATTCACAGCATATAGATTATTTTTTCATGTAAATGAAACTTAAGCAAACTTCAAACAGAGGTCATACTTATTATATAAATTTCAATTTAAGCCTTGAAAAGAAGTATAGAACCCTCAAATAATTTTCAAAATATTGTTTTTATATGACCACAAAAATTTTTTTGGGATCGTATAATGGTATGATGTCGTCGTCGTCTGCGTCATCGTCTGAAGACACATTGGTTTCCGGAAATAACTTGAGTTTAAGTTAATGGATCTCTATGAAATGTTTTAAGAAGGTTCAATACCACAAAAGGAAAGTTGGGATTGATTTTGGGGATGATGGTCCCAACCGTTTAGGAATTAGGGACCCAAAAGGGGCCCAAAACAAACATTTTTCTAGTTACAGGATAATAACTTGTGTATAAGTATTTCTATTGCTCTGAAATTGTACAACAATGTTTAATACCACAAGTAGAAGGTTGGGATTCATATAAGGGGTTATGGGGCAAACAGTTTAAGAATTAAGGGCCTAAAAGGGGCCAAAAACAACAATTTTTGTAGTTTCTGGACAATAACTTGTGTGTAAGTGTATGGATCTCTCTGATATTATACCATAAGGTTCCATATCACAAAGGGAAGGCTGGGATTGAGTTTGGGGGTAATTGCCTCAAACATGTAGGAATTAGGTAATTGCTCCAAGGGGGGATTCCAAAAGTCGCGGGGGATTTCCAATTTTTTTTAAGGAATTCATGTTTTTTTCAAAAAATTTCAAATTTTGTAAAAGTTTGAAGAAGTAATCTTCAATTGCACAGTATTGTGTAATAGATTTGTAAGATCTTTTACCACATTTTGTGTCAGAAACCTATATTATGTCAAAAATTTGATCACAATCAAAATTCAGACAGTATCAAGCTTGAATATTATATCCAAATTTGCCCCAACTGTTCAGGGTTTGACCTCTGCGGTCGTATCAGGCTGTGCTCAGCGAAGCATTTTATTTTATTTGTCCTAAGACATTTTAAATCATTTAATTATCATCCTTTTATGATTATTTGTTCAATTTATATTTCATTTATATTCTTTTAACAATTAACATTATTTATCCGGTGCAGCGCGTACTACCTAAAATTAAATAGGGGTTTTCCCCTTTTCGAAAAAAATAAAAATGTACACGTAGATTTAAAATCATGCAGGTCAGGTCCGATTTCCTTTAAATACAAAATTGAACACAATGCACACACAATAAGATCAATAAGTAAATAAGACACACATTCGTGGAAGCCCTATAAAAAAAAAGAGAACATTTATAAAGGAAGATGCAAGAAAATTTTTTGTAGGCGTGTATATATCCTTGCATGTTCCTACAAATATAATTTCAATATAACTAAAATGTTGCACGGACCCGTTTTCACGTGTTCCTAGAGCCTAGGTCCCAAGTGTTTAAACACGGCCACTAGGCTCTCAATTCCTTTTTCGCGTATTCCTAGAGGCTACTGCCGCTAGGTCTCACGTGTTTAAACACGGCCACTAGGCTCTCAATTCCTTTTTTCGCGTATTCCTAGAGGCTAGGTCTCGCATGTTTATACACGGCCACTAGGCTCTCAATTCCTTTTTCGCGTATTCCTAGAGGCTAGGTCTCACGTGTTTAAACATGGCCACTAGGCTCTCAATTCCTTTTTCGCGTATTCCTAGAGGCTAGGTCTCACATGTTTAAACACGGCCACTAGGCTCTCAATTCCTTTTTCGTGTATTCCTAGAGGCTATTGCGGCTAGGTCTCACGTGTTTAAACACAGCCACTAGGCTCTCAATTCTTTTTTCGCGTATTCCTAGAGGCTAGGTATCACGTGTTTATACACGGCCACTAGGCTCTCAATTCCTTTTTCGTGTATTCCTAGAGGCTAGGTCTCACATGTTTAAACATGGCCACTAGGCTCTCAATTCCTTTTTCGCGTATTCCTAGAGGCTAGGTCTCAAGTGTTTAAACACGGCCACTAGGCTCTCAATTCCTTTTTCGCGTATTCCTAGAGGCTAGGTCTCACGTGTTTAAACACGGGCACTAGACTCTCAATTCCCTTTTCGCGTTGTCCTAGTGGCTCGGCCCCATGTGTTTAACCAACCAACCAACCAACCTACCTACCTACCAACCATTACATGCATGTTTCGGTCCCTTGTGTTTAATACGGGTCCAAGATCTCATTTGTTTCATGTTTGCTTGTTTCAAGGGACCCTATCTCACGTGTGTAATAAGTCAATCAATCAATCAATCAATCAATCAATCAATCCATCCATCCATCCATCCATCCATCCATATATCCATCCATCAATCAATCAATCAATCAATCAATCAATCATGTTTCGGAGGGGAAAGACCGTTAACAATTGTTTTTAAAATTTTGTTACACAAGATGTTGCTTAGATGTTTATTATATGATATCAAACAGTTTATGCGCCTTTGAAATTCACCCTGCGTAACTGAAGACTTTTCTTTGTAGGAGTTATCTCCCCGAACACTGTTTTCCTTGTGACTGCATCTCCTCTATAACCGTAAAAGAAAGCGACAAAATTATTTTATAAAATTGCTCGTTATATCCTTCTCATGATTTGTCCTATTTTGACCGAAGCGATACGAACACTCCATATGAGAGTTATTTCCCCTTATGGGTTTGTTATTAGTGATGTGCATTTCTATCTTGTAAACCATAAATGATAGAGACCTAGGATCTTTTGATTTGAGGTCCTTGGTCCAAAAATAAGAAAATAAGATCAAGGTCAGAGGTCAAGGTCATATTTTAAATTTTGATTTTGGCTTATTTTCACTTCTTTTCAAAAACCGTATAAGATATCGACAAGATATTTTTATTAAATTGTAAGTTGCGACATGTCGTAACACATAAATTTTGGTTGAAATGGTACGCTAACATTAAATTGGAGTTTTCTCCCCTCTTATGTTAAAAATTAGGCGTAAAGTGATATAACTCATTAACCATATATAATTAAGACCTATGGTCTTTTGATTTGAAGCCCTCGGTTTATGACCTTGAAATTGAGCTAAAGGTCATAGGTAAATTTGACGTTCTAGATTTTGACCTTTGCTTTTACCTCGTATGTATACGTGATAAAGCCATAGGACTTTTTGCATTACGTTGCAAGCCACTTGACCATGGAAAAGCCAACCGGAAGTGACCTTGTGTAAACCGGAAGTAACTATTTTTTGTACTTATTTAATGTAAAAGTATATTAAACCATATATTTTTGGAATCAGTATCAAGTAAACTATCAAATAAAACCGGAAGTGACATCTTTCAAAACAGAAGTAACAATTTATCTCCCTTATTTTGAAAAAAATGTATAGAAACCATGTATTTTGGAATCAGTGTACAATAAACTATCATTAGACGCTGAATATGATATTTTCAACCAAATTTGAATAGTTCTATTTCAAAATAGATCTTTATGAGTGGAAAGACCTTCAATTGTTCTCTGAACAATTGGTTTTTAATTGTCCTTTGATTTTCGTTGTCTACAAATATAGTCTCTAGTGTGGACAGTGTATAACTTGCAAATTTTTTTCATACACTTTCCAAATTTATTTATTTATATTTTATGCATGAAATATTAAGTAGGGGGATGAAATTACATGTTATAAATAATTGGGTGATCAATTTTTATGTAAAGTAGTGATTTGGTCCAGTTAAAAAAGGTCAAAAATTAGTATGTCTGAAGCTGTCAAACTGAATTATAGACCCCCTTAACATAGAATTGTCCACATTTTGAGTTAGAGCTGGTAGACTTTTGTATAATTTTGATATTTTTGTCCCAAAAGTCAGGGATATAATATATAACTCTATAGGGTTATTAGAGAAAATATCATAATGTGTTATTACAGATAATTTCATGAGTTGTCCACTCTTTATTCCTTAAATTTTCTAAATCTGTAGTAACATATGTTTGTAATTTGTTAAATAAACCTTAAATACTTTAATTTTTAGTGGGCACTTGGGAATTCTTGTAACTTTGCGCAGAAACTAAATACATAGCCTTGATTACTAATTTTCGAATAACATTAATACATTTTTCATCAACCATGGTAAATCAATGAGACAAGGCTTTTAAGGGATGAACTTAGCTGTAATAACAAGGCTTTGTTATTAAAGGCATGTAACTTATTATTTGAGACACTTGAGAATTACCGGTACTGGGAAGCTTTCGCAGAACCTCATTACATGCCTTGATCATTATTTCTTACAATAAATTCAAGTATTGTGATTAAGCATGATTTATGTCTGAGCAAAGGTTTTGAAGTGATGTAGAGAAGCTGTAATAACACCCTTTAGTTATTACAGGCATATTTTTTCTGTATTTAATAACATAGGTGTACTATGCATGATTGGCAAACTATGAACTGTTATACCTTTCTATAAATTAGTATACATAAAGACAATGATAATATCAATAGAACTTGTATACATTTTAACAAAACAAATGATGTATATTGGCCCTTTGAAACATGTAACATACATATGTTATCACAGTTCTTTGATTTTTTAGTCCACAATAACCATGATAACAAATGTATGTTATTTTTCTCTAATAACCCTATAGAGTTATAGCTTTGACTGAAGTAGTATACTACACTGTAAAAATCTTTTTGAGATAGACTCATAGAGCAGGTGCGATTTTTTTACTTTGAATTTATTGTCTAAAAGAAATGCACTACGAAATAACTGTGTTCTCCAGCCATTCAATTATAAAGACAAATATCCCCCCTTTTTGTTTTAGATGAGAGTATTATATAATTACTATTAATGTATTCTCTTAACGAGATAATTAAATGAACTCCTTTCAACTTAATTACTGAAGAAGAAAAAAAAAGAGTTTTCCAGCATCTATTCATAAAACAGCTATAAAAATGTAATAAGTTAACACCAATATAATGTATGTGTACTGGATATATTTCACTTTCGGTTCATTTCTGTCTTTCTTGGTGTGTCCCTCAATTATGAAATTGAGTTCCCATCTTAAATAATGCTGTATGTTTTCAAGTGTTTTGGTTCTAAATCGAACTAAATTTACCATGGTCACACAGACAGAGTTAAAAGTGGAAATAAACTTCTTATCAATTTCAATTTAAGCATTGGAAAAAAAGTATAGATTTCTCAAATAATTTTCAAAATTTTATTTTTATTTGTCCTATTGGACCAAAGAAAGTTAAAATTATTCAATTACCATTCTTATACCATTCTACGTTTAATTTGTGACAAATGTTTGGGATTGAAATTTAAAAAAAAACAGCAGCTAGAGGATTTGAACTTTTAAGGGGAGAGACGAAAGAGGGGTTGAAAATTGGGAGATTTTGACTCCCACCGGAAAAATCATATGTCTGATATAAGCACCAACACAGTTGTTGATAATGGTCAAGTACAAAAGAGGGACGAAAGATACCAGAGGGACAGTCAAACTCATAGATCGAAAACAAACTGACAACGCCATGGCCAAAAATAAAAAGACAAACAGACAAATAATAGTACAGATGACACAACATAGAAAACTAAAGACTAAGCAACACGAACCCCACCAAAAACTGGGGGTGATCTCAGGTGCTCCGGAAAGGTAAGCAGATCCTGCTCCACATGTTGCACCCGTTGTGTTGCTTATGTTATTACAAATCCTGTAAATAGTCTAATTCGGTAGGTCACAGGGAAGGGTATTGTAGTTTCGACAAAAGGAACATATCAGATATCATCTGTGAAACGGTTATTCCATAACGGTCAACCAACTCGTGATGGCGTCTGTAAAATTTACGAAGGGATGATTTCAACTTCACCATTTGGAACTCTTGGTTTAAAAGCTTCCTTGTGAGCAGCAATCCTCTATCAAGGAAATCATGATAGGAAATACAAGCTCGGGAATATCGTATCAATTGGGAGATATATACTCCGTATGCAGGCACTGCTGGAATGTTGCTACATAGAAATGGAAAGTTCACAATTGGGAAGCTGAAATCATCTCTTTTGTTGTAAACTACAGAACTTCTTCATCCAGCGACAATAGATGACATACAAAAGTTAAAAGTTTCAGTCATATATTTCGACTTTCAAATGTATATTATAACTCAAAAGGGTGGAAGGGGGCACTGACTATGTAATATGTGGTAGGGATGAGCCACTGGAATTATTCAATAGGTCAATTTTTCAAGCTTCATGCTATATGATAAGGTTGGGAAATATATGACAAGGTTGAAAAATATATGACAAGGTTGGTGATTAAATCATAACTTTATAAGTCACATGTCAATTCTTGTTTACAGATGAGATTAAAACCCTGGTGACTGTCTAAAATGCATCAAATATTTGTGAAATTTGTTTATCTTTCTGTAATCGTGACAAATGTAGATGTATTTTTTGTCAAATTATATATATGACAGGGTATGTGTTTTTTATATTCAAAACAAACAAAAAGTGTGGGGTACTGGATGTTTCAGTTGCTCTCCCCTTTTACAAAAGTATCCAACTTTCCCAAAACATAATTCCTAGAAGAACGTGCTATTGTTAACTTGTCTGTTTCCAATAAATTTTATACATTGTGTTTTTTCAGATGTTTCCAATAAATAGTATACATTGTGTTTTTTCAGATAGTTTTACGTTTATGGAAAATTGTGCCTCCAACCCGTGCTGACTCCCACACACCTCCTGCAGAGTATAGAAACTCTTATAAAGATTTTGAATTTGATGACCGTTGTCATAGTATGTATTGATACATTTTATTTATTTGTAGTCATAATTTTCATATCCTATAATTCAAAATGGTTAAGCAGACCTTCCATTTTTTATACGCCCGTCAAATTTTGACGGGACGTATTATGGTATACAAATGTCCGACGTCCACATGTCGCACCGTAACTTGAAAACAACTTATCCAAATTTCATGAAACTTAAGATAGTTGTTTCTTATGATGTTCAAATGATCTGTATACTTTTTGGTGAAATTAAGATTAAAACTTTTTGAGTTACGGGACTTTGTAACTAAAACAGGGGGTGTTTTTTTCACATGTCGCGCCGTATCTCCAAAATGATTTATGATTATTGCTTAAAACTTTACACACTTCTTAATTATATTAATCTAACGATCTGTATACTTTTTGGTGATGATTCAAAATTTTGTTTTAGAGTTATTGATTTTTTTATAAAAAAAAGGGGGGTTTTCACATGTCGTGTCGTATCTCAGAAATGATTTATTAAATATTGCATAAAACCTCACAAACAAGACGAAGGGCGTATCATGCGCTTGTGGCGCAACTGTTTATTCTATAGTAAGATGGGTTATGTTTTAAGTGAACAGAAAAAGCAAGAGATGTCAAATTTTCATTGCGTTTCATTTGCCAAAGGGGGAAATAATATAATTGAGTTATTCTAAGTTAGAGAAATGTATTCATAGTATAAAAAAATACTTAAAGGCATCTTTACACTGGTCAAGGCTGTTCTATTAAAACATACAGATTACCCAGGGAAGGCACTTTGTAAAAAAACCAAACTATTGTAACCACGCAAATATACGTACAAATAATATTGAAGACCTGTATGCATTTAAACCAACCACATCTATATCATTTGGTCTTTATGGATAATTGTTTCATTTACAATCATACCACATCTCTTAATTTTTGTCTCGCCTTGACGGAGTCGAAAAGCGAGACATAGGTATGCTGTTTCCGGTATCGGCGGCGACTGCGGCGGCATCAACAATGTATTAGTTTGTGATTAGGTCTAGTTCATGGTGAAACACTAGTGGTAGGTCAATGATATTTGGTATGCAGTTGTATTAGCATCAAGTTGGCACATCTCATTACCATGGAGATTATTTGGCCCCGCCCCCTCAGTCAAGGTCTATTGACTTTGAAACTTTGCTTAGTTTACATGTATTAGTTTGTGATTAGGTCAGTTTAAAGGTAACTGTTAGTGGTTGGTCAATGATAATTGGTATGCAGTTGTATAAGCATTAGCACATCTCATTTCCATGGAGAATATTTGGTCCTTACCCCTCAGTCATGGTCTATTGACTTGAAACTTTTGCTTAGTTAACATGTATTGGTTTGTGATTAGGTCAGTTCAAGATGAACCACTAATGTTAAGTCAATGATATTCGGTATGCAAATGTATTGGCACTTGGAAGTTTCATTTCCATGGAGATTATATAACCCCACCCCTTAATTATGGTTCATTGACTTTGAAACTTTTACATTGTTTACAAGTTAATGTTTGTGTTTAGGTTTGTTTAAAGGGAACGACTTATGAAAAGTCAATGGTATTTGGTTTGCAGTTGTATTAGCATTGGCACATCTCATTTCCATGGAGATGGTTTAGCCCTGTACCTTCAGTCATGGTTCATTGACTTTGAATATTTGCATAACTTACATGTTAAAGTATTGCTATTTTAATTTCAACATTTGCATTATCAAAATAACAAATAGGCGAGACATATCTCTGTGTTAACAGTTTATTTAATAAAGTGATGGATTCAAGTTGCCTTCCCTAGGCATATGCATGTTTCTGGAATACTACTCAAAATAGCAGATATAATTCTATAATTAAACAAGTTTAATATAACAAATTTTTCATAACTGATTTCTTTTTCTATAGATAATGCATAACACAATGGAAAAATAAAGATAAGACTGTGGTTTTTGAGATACAAGCATTTGAAAAATTAAATATTTTGTTTAGTAAGAATTGTCTCAGGTTTGAGTGTATAGGACATCTTCCAAAGTGCACCAACAACTACCTTGAAAACATTTTTTTTTTGTTGAACTCTTTTTCTACTAGCTTTTTTGCAAATCAGAAGAAGAAAAAGTACAAAAGAAAAATATGCAAAAAGAAAAATGATTCCCCTTATAATAATGGTTAATTAAACAAATTGAAAAAATGGTTCCTACTGTCATATTTGACAGACATTTTGATGGAATTGATTACATTAGCAACAAATATAAATTAAAGATTAATGCCATAAAACTCTGATAGTATTGCTTAAAGTTGAGTTTTGTTGGTTTTTACTTTAATAGATAAGCTATATAAGAGGAGATTTTTGACAAGAGAGAAAAAATGGATTTTTATATTTTGCTAATGTCATTGAGGGACATTTTAATTCATTCGTCAGAACTTGACAGACATTCTATTGCTATTGTTATAATTTTTATTAACAGATGTAAAGAAATAAATGGTCAAAACGATATTCACTTTTGACAAATTTTGCAGGACTTCAAACAATCTTCAAGTAAAACGGATTGTGTCATATTCTGACAAACGAATGGAAGTTGTCTGCCTAAATATAACAATTGCTAAAAAAATCTGTCAAATTAAGAAAAAAACTTGTTGACCGTATGTGCTTTCAAGTCGATTTTACGAGTCTAAAGGAGTTCATTTCTTAAAAATAGGTACATGATGATGTGCTTAAAGTTAAAGCTTCCTGGAACGGTTAGAAATGATAATATTGATAACCTATTTCAATCGCTGTTTACATGTTGTAGAGTCAATGACTGGCCATACCTTTTGTTGTTGGACATATTATAGAAGCTCTCCAAGCGGCAAAAATGTTATTATTACGAGGAAAGACATTAAAAGGCAAAGATGAGCATTACTTATGTCGGCTGTTAACTTTGACAGAAAAGACGATCACAAAATTATTTACATTAATGAATATACTGCCAATGAAAACATGTGTTTCAATTGATTCTTATTTAGTCTCTGTGGTCATTTATTTTCATAACATGAATCAGCAGAAAGAGTAATTTATTAATCACCAACTTTTCACATGTTTTCTGAAAGATTGCTAACATCAAATTTGTTGACAGAACAGTTATTTTGAAATGATCAATTTAAAAATTTTAAAAACTAGAAACATTTTTTTTAACATCCAGTTGGAAAAAAGCACTGTAATTGATTTGTTGACAAGTGAAGAAATATACTATAACCATGAATAGATGTTATTTCAATAGGTTACAGGCAGTTGTAGGCTTCAAATATGACCCCATTAATTACGGTAGCCCAAGCCGTCAAATTTGTTACGATTGCAACATAATTTTAACTTAATAATATCTCATATCCTTTTGTTAATTTATTTTTATTGTTTAATATTTCACAAACAAATCTCTAAACATGCAAGGGAGGTTTTGGAATTGTACATTAATTGATTCCAGCCCATTTAGAATTTGACGGACACTGGTGCACTTCTAAATGGAAGATGCCGTGGCTAGAATTATGAATATCAAACTGTATGAAAAGCGTCATAAATTATCTAGCCCTCAATGAAATTAACTTTACTCAAAAAGTGCAAAATAAATTAAGTATGCTGGCCTATCACGCTAGTTGAACTTGACCTTTATAAAATTGACTTACAAGGACAAGCAAGAGACCTCTTTATTTTGATGTCAACCTCCTAGGCATGATGTCACAGTTCTTTGGTTCTTTGGTTATGATCCATCAGGACAAATCATAATTGAACATGTATGTGGTTGCTCTTTTTACTCGGAGAGTACACTATGCACAAAGGCAACACCTCATCCATAATAGAGATGTAACACTATGGCCATGAATAAAATTTTTATTACGTTTTTCTCATGAACTACATGATATTCCTTTAATATGTAATCAAGCTTCGTGTAAGCATGCTTTATCTTGTTATGCATTTTCACATTCATTGCCGATCGACTTCCTGACTGCTTATATGGGAGGTATCTTTTGTGAGCAATAGCTCATGTAACATATGTTTTAGGTGAAATTCAGAGAGTTGCTGGTGAGCACACATTAGACTGGCTCTTAGCCATCTCCAGAGGACATATTGATTACCTCAGCAGACTTCCTAGAGATGTCTTGATAAAGATCATCTTAAATCTGGGATTAGAAGATATTGGCAAACTTGGGAGAACATCTCATCAGTTTAAAGAGGTATAATGAGATATTTATGATTAAAAGGAGATGTTGGGCACATGTGTGGATGCATTCAGGAAACCTATCCACACTATTAGTCTGATAGGGAAGTTCAATGAATTGATTTGATTATAAAGAATCAATAGTCTACAAAGCAATTCTTGATGTGAAAATTGTAAAGGTATTAATATGCAGAAAAAAAATAATTCTTATCTAAGTTTGAATATTGATTGAAGCAATAAGCAATAAAAAAGATATTTTAGTATGAATATAAGTAAGAGTTAGAGTGGTTTTACAACAATAAGAAAGCAACACAACACATCGATCCTAAAGACAACTTTTGAAGCGATACAAATTTGTCAAAAAATAAAATTGGGAGTTTGTAACTAAATAACAATACTATGCATTATGGCAGGTGAAAGAGACAGACCTTGGCTAAATAACTATGTAATTACTGACAAATTTGAAAGTTATTTAAAGTAATGTGAAATTGAGCATATTTTCAATTACATGTAATTGAAAGTAATAATTACTTTGCCTTTTCTGCCATGTAATTATGAATTTCTTATCAATTACAATGTACTTTCAATTTCATTGGAGTATTTTCTTTGAAGTTAAAACATCTCTGAAATCTTAAATCATTGAATATGATATTTTTTCAGCTTTGTAATTCATGTGATCTTTGGGAGCAAATGTACAGATTACATACAGAGACTGCAGTTACACCAGAATTAGAAGACTTGGCTAAAGAAAAGGGATGGAAAAAGTTATTTTTCACAAACAAATTACAGTTACAGGTAATAAATATAATGTATAATGATGTAAGGATCAAGAGGCTAACACGGTCAATCTTAGTAAAGTACTTCATATTTGGTATTTGCTGCAAATTTTTAATGCAAGCCATATTGGGGAATAAGAACAAATAATGGTTTGCTCAGATTTAAAATAACGTATCTGGGTAAGGTGACTTGTCTTTCTGACGATTTTTATCTTTTAAGCTAGCACATTTACAATCTTCCAACATGGTAGGTAACATTAGTAATTATTTGTATCATGATAGAAATTTATACCCCTACTTTTGAAGGAAGTGGTATAATGTATTACTCCTACTTGTGTGTCCCTATGTCTGTCCATCTCATGAAATTTAGGTCACATTTTTTCAGGACATTCAAATAAGAGTTTCCTTGAAAATAGGTAGCAAGCCTTTAAGCATGCTATATTGTGTTATTGTGTTATGCATTTTCACATTCCTCAATAATCAACTTCCGGGATTTGGGTGGTCCAGTGGTCTAAGTCGTCAAATTACTGTATCACTAGCCTGTCAACACTGAGGTGGTAAGTTCCAATCATTCACGTGGCAGAGCCGTTTGACTCAATCTTAATTGACTAGGATTGTCAGTTTTCCTACCAAAAGTCAGTGGATCCTGCACTCCAGCTCCCTCCACCAATAAAAACAGACCACCACAAAATAGCCAATTGTGCTGAAAGTGGCATAAAACACCAATCAATCAATCTACTTCCTTTCACAAAATTCCTATATTTTCTTTCACATAAAGGGCATTTATGAAATGACCTTCACATTTTTCTCTGGAACTACAAATCGTAGCTTATTGAAATTTGTTATCAGGTTTCATATGAACATGCTATATTGTGTGATGCATTTTCACATTTAAACTTTCTGCTAACTGAATTCTTATATTACACATAATAAAATTGAGAATGGAAATGGGGAATGTGTCAAAGAGACAACAGCCCGACCAAAGAGCAGAAAACAGCCCAAGGCCATCAATGGGTCTTCAACACAGAGAGAAAATCCCACACCCTGAGGCGGGCTTCAGCTGGCCCCTAAACAAAAATGTGTACCAGTTCAGTGAAAATGGACGTCACACTAAACTCCGAAACATATGAATGAATTAAAATTAAAAAAACATACAAGACTAACAAAGGCCAGAGGCTCCTGACTTGGGACAGGCGCAAAAATGCTGCGGTGTTAAACATGTTTTGTGAGATCTCAACCCTCCCCCTATACCTCTAGCCAATGTAGAATAAACAAACACACAGCAATACGCACAGTAAAACTCAGTTCAAAAGAAGTCAGAGTGCGATGTCAGAATAGGTAACAGAAGAAACTAAGCAAAATGACAATAATACATAAATTAACAAAGGACTACTAGCAGTTACTGACATGCCAGCTCCAGACCTCATCTAAACTGATTGAAAGATTATGTCTTCATCATATGAAAATCAAGCACAATCCCTCCCTTTAGGGCTTTAGTATCATACCATCATAAAATATATGAGAAGAACATAACCTGTATCATGACCATTTATGAAATTTGTCATCAACTATGAATCAGATAATCATGAAATTTGGTATCAAGTCACTATCAACATTCATGTCAGAGTATGCTATATACAGTGTGATACGTTTTCATTACTCTTCAAATTCTGGTTTTCCTAATACTTATAGTGGGGTAATAAGAGAGCTCAGCTCACAATTTAACTTGTTCTTACAGTATTTGTTGTCTTGCCTGTCATGGAAAGCCAGACATAGGGATTGCTTTTCCGGTGATGATGGCATCAACAATTGTTAAGTTTTTTGCTTAAGTTAGTTGAAAGGAACTACTTGTGATAGATCATTGATATTTAATATAAAGTTGCATTACTAACAGATGATGTCTGTACATATCAGTTTGACGACTATTTTGAGGCTCTGTCCCGTAGGTCATGGTCAAGTGACTTTTAATTAATTAGCAATTTTCAATGTTAAGTTTTTTTGGTGAAGTCAGTTTGATAGGAACTACTTGTGATAGATCAATGATATTTTTATAAAGTTGCATTACTATCAGTACTTATCAGTTTGACAACTATTTTGAGGCCCTGCCCCCTAGGACATGGTCCAATGACTTTGAAATAATTAGCAAATATAAAGTTACATTACTGTCTGTACATCTCATTTTGTCGACCATTTCTAGGCCCTGCCCACAAGATCATGGTCCATCGACTTTGAATTAATAGGCAATGTTGGTGTCCATCAGATTGTCTTTTTCTGAATATAATGCCAACAGGCAGGATATATCTGTGTCAACAGTTTATTTTATGAGCTCTTACTGATAATTCTATTTTATATTACAGCTTCAGCTAAGGCGTTTGAAGAAACATGAAATGGACCATGAGCCCAGCAAAGGCCATGCTTTTATCACAGAGTAAAAACTGGTGCAGATATCAGAGGTCAGACTTTAGACAGAGTTCAAAACTCTGGTGCTGATAACCTTGATAGTATTATATGTTTAGATTTTTTTTAACTCTACATTCTGATTTTATATGAGTTATAAACATTGAAATCCGATACCATAATCAGAATTTAACTGATGGTGACATAAAATGTTTTTACCTCATTAAGTTTTTATGACTACTTTCAACTACTAATAAAGAAATATGTTTTGTTGTTTAAATCTATTTATAAATAAAATGTTAATTATATAAAAATTCCTCAAACAAAATTCAGTATTTATTGTAACTATTTGCAAGAATCTTTTCTCTCAAAAATATGCACTATGAAATTATTTGACTGGATGTTTTTGAGATCCACATGCAGATTTGACATTATTATTTTAGTAATATACGAATATATTTCTATACAGTGTCCATTTAAAGTATAGTATCTGTGACTTTGTTACTTTGTTCCAGTATAGTTGGAATCAATATTCTGACCATACTGACTAATTCTCAGGGTATCACACAAGGAAGTGATTTACTCTTATGTTGGAACATACACCCATCATTGTTTTAGATAAGGTTTTTTTTCATTACCTGAAATGCATAAATGGATATCGTTTTAACTTGTGTTTGTAAAAGATATTCTGAATTAGGACTCAGCATTCTGAAATCTTAACATTAACATTGTTTTGTGCCATTTAGCAACGTTTAGATTAACTATAAAATCTAGTTAACCAATGAAAAGAAATATCTCCTGGACAATCTACTTGCACTAAAAAATTACTAATAAAAAAATAAGTTATGAAAGAAGTTGATACTTTTATGTTTAAAACAGGTAATTAGTTATACTTAATTGATATTCTTTTTATTTATTTATTTATTGTATGTAGAATAGATTATTTACCTAATATGGAAACAAGTGCTTGTAGCGTTGGTATATATAATCTTTACTTATAGGGATTATTTGTAAAACAAAAAGGGAGAGGGAGAACTAACAAAGCATACTTAATTGGTATGAAAACCAAACATATATATTTAATAAAAAAATAATCAACAAGTTATATATATTTAGATTTTAGTTTAGGATATTACGTAGCATTTATGTAAAAAGAAGTCTATGCGTTGTATTTAAATATCATTCAATGTGCAGTGAAGTGTGTGGAAATTGTGATTCAGATTATCATTTCTCAGTTTGAATATCAATAGTTAAATGAATCTTAACAGGATTTTGTGTAATTATTTTTGTATTTGACAGTTTGAAATATCCGTCCATGAATTGATACTAATATATTAAGAGTTGCATGATATTTATAAATTGATTTACACAGAGCTTTTAAAGCAGTTAGATATTTTTTTCTGAATTAATTACTTTTATTTTTAAAGAACCGTCCATTCTGAGTGCTTAGTTTTTACAGACAGTGTATAAACTGTGATACAATACATTCCTTGTGCCTTTATGGTCTACATTATAAGCTTTATTGTATGTTTGATTTGATTTTATAATAAACAAATATTTATTATTTACCTTTTTCTGAATTATTGTTTGTAATATTTTTGATTTTTAGATAAATAGAAAACTATCTCGAAAAATGAGAAAAAAGAAACACATATTGTAAATTCTGAAATTTTGTCGATGCCTCTGCTGGTGGACTGATAGTCCCCGAGGGTATCACCAGCCCAGTAGCCAGTACTTCAGTACTGGCATGAAAATACTGATTTTGTGTTATTAAAATTTACTGTTACAAAATATTGGAAATTATTTAAGATTAAGGAATCAATCTCCCTCATGCAAAGCTCTGATTCCTTGCCCGGCTTTGGCTATACTTTTTTGTCCTTTTTGGTTTATAGCTTTTCATCTTTTTAATAAGCTTTGGATTTTCAGATGTTTTGGCCTGGGGCATCACTGAAGAAACATTGATTGTCGAAATGCGCATCTGGTGCAGCAAAATTGGTACCGTTTATGTTTTTACTACCACTGGGTCGATGCCTCTGCTGGTGGACTGATAGTCACCAAGGGTATCACCAGCCCAGTAGCCAGTACTTCGGTACTGGCATGAAAATACGGATTTTGTGTTATTAAAATTTGTTGTTACGAAATGTTGGAAATTATTATTTAAAATTAAGGAATGTATCTCCCTCATGCAAAGCTCTGATTCCTTGCCCGGCTTTGGCTATACTTTTTTTGTCCTTTTTGGTTTATAGCTCTTCATCTTTTTTATAAGCTTTGGATTTTCAAATATTTTGGCCTCGAGCATCACTGAAGAGACATTGATTGTTGAAATGCACATCTGATGCAGCAAAATTGGTACCGTTTATGTTTTATTTTTATATATTATTGTATTTTTTGAGAAATCCACAAAAATTTGAGATTAATTATAGCAATTACAACATATGCTGCATACTTATAATTCTTTGAAAATTTAAATGCAAGTTTGATTTTTTTTGTGAAACCTTTCCAATTACAATTTTTGCAATAATAAAAAAACGCAATAATTTCTGAATTTACAGTAATGTATCACATATTAACCAAAAAATGTCAGAACACTAAAAATTGAATGCTTTCTTTATTTAATGAAGATTGCCAACAGCTGGCTACTAGTGGTTCTTGTCAATGAAAATAAAACATATATTTACAACTACAATGCAGTATTAACAATGTAATACATACATAAAGACTTACAGCAGGACAAATAAACATTTGTGTGGCACATGATCATTCTATTATCATTATAGTATGGACAAAAAAGTTTGAAGTTCTTTATAGAATGTCTCTATACCTACCTTGGTGACAATGTTTTCAAATAAAATGCTCCGCTGTGGCGCAGCTTGATAAGACCGCAGAGGTCGAACCCTGAACAGTTGGGGCAAGTATGGACACAACATTCAAGCTTGATACAGCACTGAATTTGGATTGTAATTAAATATTTGACACAGCATAGGTTTCTGACACAGAATGAATGTGGTCTAAGAACTTGAAAATTTTTAATTTACCTATTCAAACCATATCATTATTATTTGCTTTTATATATAAATCAGAAATAACCAATTTAAACAGAAAATTTTAAAAGAAAAAGGAACCCCCCCCCCCCCCCCCAATTTTTTGAACCCCCTTATGATTTATCACCCCCAAACTCAATCCCAGCCTTCCCTTTGTGGTATGGTACCTTGCAGTACAATTTCAGAGAGATCCATACACTTGAACACAAGTTATTGTCTGGAAACTAGAAAAATGCTTGTTTTTTGGCCCCTTTTTGGCCCCAAATTCCTAAACGTTTAGGGCAATTACCCCAAAATTCAAACCAAGCTTTCCCTTTATGATATGGAACCTTGCAGTACAATTTCATAAAGATCCATACACTTACACACAAGTTACTGTCCTGAAACTAGAAAAATGCTTGTTTTTTTGCCCCTTTATGGCCCCCAATTCCTAAAATTTTGAGGCAATTACCCCCAAAATCAATCCCAGCCTTCCCTTTGTTGTATGGTACCTTGCAGTACAATTTCAGAGTGATCCATACACTTGAACACAAGTTATTGTCTGGAAACTAGAAAAATGCTTATTTTTGGCCCCTTATTCCTAAACGTTTTGGGCAATTACCCCCAAACTCAATTCCAGCTTTCCCTTTGTGATATGGAACCTTGTAGTACAATTTCATAAAGATCCATACACTTACACACAAGTTATTGTCATGAAACTAGAAAAATGCTTGTTTTTTGCCCCTTATTTGCCCCTAATTCCTGAGATTAGGAGGCAATTACCCCCAAAATCAATCCCAGCATTCCCTTTGTGAAATGGAACCTTGTGGTACAATGTCAGAGAGATCCATACACTTACACACAAGTTATTGTCATGAAACTAGAAAAATGCTTGTTTTTTGCCCCTTTTTGGCCCCTAATTCCTAAAATTTGAAGGCAATTACCCCCAAAACCAATCCCAGCCTTCCCTTTGTGATATGGAACCTTGTGGTACAATGTCAGAGAGATCCATACACTAACACACAAGTTATGTCTGGAAGTTACAAATATGCTTATTTTTGGCCCCTAATTCCTAAACTGTTGGTACCATAACCCCCAAAATCAATCCCCACCTTCCTTTTGTGGTATTGAACCTTATGGTAAAATTTCATAGGGATCAATTCACTTAAACTAAAGTTAGAGTGCGAAAACCAATGTGTCTTCGGACGACGACGACGACAACGACGCCAACGTCATACCAATATACGACCACAAAATTTTTTTGCGGTCGTATAAAAATCAATGGATTATATAGATAACAAAAGTTGACACACTAAAATGTCCCAGCTCCTACAGTCATTTTTTTCCAAAGGCAACAAAATTACTGAGGTCAACTATGTCAAATGAAATTTGTCAATACAAATGCTCGTATGTATGATTCACTTACAGAATATTTCAGTCTATCCAGTATAACATCTGAGCAACATGCTTTATCCATAAACTTTAATGACCCACAAAAAAGGTCAAGATCATATGAAATTTCAGATGAACAAATATACCACTAAACCAATCAACAACAATGTGACAAAAAACATAGCTATTGTCAGAGGAAGCACCTCATATAGTATACTTAAACTGATCATCAAAGCACGAATTTGAAGTCAAATCCCATTGAAATGTCAGATGGGCATATACTCCTTTCAACCAAACTGCATACTTAATATTGTTGACCCTATTTTGAATAGCTAAAGAAGAGCAGACCTCATCCTAAAACCAATTTAACAATTAAGGTCAAGGTCAGAAGAAATATGTAAGTCTTACCTATATTCTGCTCAACCAATCTACTTTATGAATACTGTTTACCTTAATAATGATGTATATATATATAGTTACCAATCTCATTATTAAAAATTATCCTCACCAAAATAGGATGAAATTGACAGCAAGGTCATTTGATATATTTCAGAGGTACATATACAACATCCTTGCAAACTAAATCACATATCAAATCTTGTTGACCTATTACGTACAATTACTGAGGAACAGACTCAACCTGACCACAATGAAAAAAACATATTGAGGTTGGGTAAGTATGACTGGCTGACAAGTTATCAGGCATCCTACACTTCTATATCTTGATAACTTTAATAGATAGACAGCAATATTAATGATCAACAATAAAGTCATATGACAAATATCTTCAATAGAACTTTGGTTGAATTTAACATTGCTATTTTTTGGTGTTTTGTCTTTTTTTTTCTTCTAGAAAATCATAATTGTGACACGCAATGATGATCATAAATATAAATAAATAAAATTCTTTATTCAATGAAGGTTACTCATTTAACAATAACAGGTTAACCTTCCATGAGGCCTTCAAAAACCAATAATACAAATAGAAGAAATACAGATAATTACATAAAGCAGCTTAATATTTGAATAAGCACATATTCATTCACTAGAAGAAAAAATACATTTTATTCACGTATCTTCATTTTCTGAAGTTATAAAAATAGTTTGAACATTTGATCTTTAGTGCATCTAAATTATTTGTTTCCTTCATATTATTTATCAAATTATTCCAGGTAATTATTAGACTCGAATATTTAAATGTTCTTTTAAAAAATAAGAATTAGGTCTTGGTACATGAAGAAGTCCTGATGTTGTCGACCTAGCAAATAATTATAAAGATCAGTACAAGCAGTAAACTTATTAGAGAGATAATCAGGTGTGAGACCATTCATACATTTAAACATTAAGACAGCTTGAAAATATTGTATCCTCGTAAATATTGTCCTCCATTCAAGCTCTTTAAGCATTAAAGTTGTTGGAAAATCAAAAGAAACACATAAAATTAATCTTGCAGCAGGTTTCTGGAGCTTATGAATTCTTTCCAGATAACAGATTGTGGTAAGGCCCTGTAGTCAATAGTGGGTAATATATAGCTATTGTAAAAAAGAACAAGACCCTTAAATGGTAAATAATGTTTCAACCTTTTTAACTTTTTTAGCATTGCACTAAGTAATTCTGATATATTAGTTATTAGGTATCCAGGGAAAATATCTAATAAGAGTAAATTGATATTACATTACAATATTAATAATTTCATGTTTACCGGAGTATTCCATTTCTATCCGATAATGGTTTTTCATATTAGTTAATATATTCAGCGTGTTTGCCGTCATCAGCTTTTATTTAATGTTCTGGATAATTTTTGATTTGTTGTTATTAATCATATCATTTTCTTTAGAAAGACATACTCTAAGAAAAGGCCGACATGACTGAGATGTTAATGATTTAAATGAACTCTCGAATCTTTGCCCTTAAATGACTATCTTTATCCACTGTCAAGGACGTATAACTAACATATATTATATCTTATACACGTCCTTGTCACTGTTTTTTCTTTTATTTATTATCTTCAGAATTATAGATGACTGACTAAAAGAAATGCAATTCCAGAAGTAAAAAGTGTCACATGTGCTGCAAAAGTGATCAATTCCCTGTTGCTTTAATGACCTAATCATGCAAACATTTCTTGAAGCCTGAGGAATCCACTTTTTTTATAT